CATTTCAAGCAAAGATTATTCCCTGTAAGATATGTATCTTGTTTGGTATACTTTTTCTTGCTTTATTTTCTTTCTTTTGTTCTTTCTTTCTTCTTTCCTTCATTCCTTTGTTTCAGGCTTTTGCTGTGTAAACTTTCTAAATAGAAGATTCACTAATGCATGATTACATGTTTCATTAAGGAGGGTTTATCAACTCCCCCTTTGGAGACAGATTCGGTAGAATGATTTTTATTGGAAAATGTCAGCCTTTGGAAAGCTGAAAATTATAATCATCTGAAAATCACACTGGAGGCTGATTTCCTGAGGGTTTATTTCAGAGGTCCGCCCTAGGTGAATCCATAGATGATGCTAATGCCCAGGCACACATGTGCATACTTCTCCTTCTCCTCCCCTGCACCCTGAAGTACATTACATTCCTTCCCCATCAGAGGCCATGAAAGCCTCACAAGCCCATTCTTATATTTTTATTTCTCTCTAAGAGTGAACAGCCACATACATTCATTCCAGGGCAGGAGTCCTCGGTTTCTGAAAGGTCTTTGCTAAAGTGGTTTGTTTTTGTTCTTTTTTATTGTTGCTTTCATTCTTATTTGTTTATCAGTTTGCTCTAAAAAAAATTCTGTGCATAGGAAATTGGCACACAGGAGAAAGTAGCTACTCAGCACACTCAGAAAATAAAATTAACATCCTAGGCATGACGCAGTCATCATCTAGGATGAACCAGTGTAAAACTGGATAGAGATGAACTTAGAGACTTTCAGCAAAAATGACTGAAACATTATGGAAAGCCTCCAACCAATCCATGTGGGGACAAGTCAAAGGCATGTGATGGTAACCAAGAAAGTTAAAATCTAATACAGAGAAAAGACTTCTAACCAAGAATGAACTGCCAGATCCAATGAAGGGCAACAAATGGTCTTTTCATATTTATTCAGCACTGTGAGCCACTAGACCTCAGGACATGAGTGACCAGGTCATATGCTGAGCCATTCACTAAGGATTTAAATATCCCAGCACCCCAAAGGGACTCAAAATCCTTCACTTTGTGAAAGTACCTGAATGACCTCACGGGAAGCTAGCAGGATCTTTAAAAAAAAAAAAAATTATACTGCTTTTGATTTTTAAGTCTTTTTCAACTGAAAAATAATAGTAATGTAAATATTTTAAATTTCCCTTAAGTGGTAGTAGTGTTCCCCCCGCACCCTGCCATTTAGTGTGGAAGTAATCAGATAATTTAATCTGAAGACTTCTCCACATTCTCTGTTCAGCTCATCTCATCCGCAGTGTCATTTGGATGTCAACTGCCATGCTCCTTCCTCCCTGTAATCTTTGTGTGTTGGCTTGATCTGATTCAGGTTCAGTTCCTATGGGTTGTTTTGAATATTTCCCCTCCTAGAGCTATAACCTGCCATGTTGAAAGGAGCACACATTCCTTACTTGGAGACATGCTATTTAGATGCCACAATCCAGGTGCCAAGGGTGCTCACTGCAGTGAACTTTCATTGACTCTACACTATATCAATTAGATGGAGCTAGAAAATTCCTAAGAGCATTTCAGCTACACTAAGCAAAAATTTTTTCATCTGCTAATGGTGCATACTGTGATACTATTGATATATGACATTACGGTTTGAGCTCCTTTTAAAACACCTGAAGTAAAAAGAAAAGTAGAAGAATAAACCATGGGTGCCAGAAAAAATATTCTGTAGACTGTGTGATGGATGTGTGACTATTAACTCTCAGCTCAGTGTTCAAATCACTGCAACAAACGACATAATAAAGGAATAGTATCACATACAAACAAGCACACATACTTGCCTGTTCAATTTTCTGTCTCATTTTGTGTACATAGAACAATGACTTCATTACTCTACTTTCCATGTATGTCAATATGTAGAGTAATTTAAGAGAACATACAGCATGAGTCTGTTGGTCCCAGACAAGGGAGAATCCCTATTATACAGGAATGAATTATGAGCTTGGTTTGCTTCAGCCCTGTGACTTCTAGCTCAGCATTTTCCCTTGGGTCATCAGAAGCTCCCTGAAGTTCCCTCTTCCTCTCACTCTTCACTGTGGTCCTGTAGGCACACTGTGTGCGAGTGAAACGTCCTGAAGGGGACAGGGGCCAAATACTGGCATCTTCAGCGCCTGCCACATCCATCGCTCATGGTTGTAGAGTTTTTCTTGGTCCATTTTTCCTTTCAATTCTCAATACGTTTCTTAAGTTAACACCAGGTTAGATCACAGAGGCAAACAGAAATAAAACCCAGTGCTTACTCTCTGTAGAAGGTGTTAGTGGGGCAGAAAGACATATAAGCAAATAAGCTCATTACAAAGTCTTGAGGCAGCTCAGAAGTTAGTGGAAGAGGAAAGGATTTCCACATAGGGAAGTACAATTTCTACACTAGATGTCCATGTTAGGACTTTTCAAGGAAGGACTGATTCTGAAGAAGTCTAGAAGAGAAATCCTAGAAAGAAGAGGTGGCATGTGCATTACCCAAGCAATGAAGGGGCTTGGAATCAAAGGAAAGAGAAGGTGATGTTTAGTAGACAGATGTAAATGTCCAAAGATAGGAGTATGAATGACAGAACAGGATAGAAGGTGAAGGATTTGGTTTTCTGCTTTGTGCATTGACAACTTATGCCTGTAACTCTCAAGCCCAAAGGCCAAGTCTGGCTGTCTCCACCTGGCTTTGTAAACGACATTTACAAAGCCTGTTTACAGATCATCTATAATTACTTTTGTATTTAAAGGCAAAGTTGGGTGATTGTAACAAAGATTTTCTTATCCTTAAAACACATAATTACTGTCTGTCCTTTACAGAAAAAAATTTACTGAATCACCCTTCCACTCTAGAAGAATATTTCTCAAACTAATGCATTTATAAGTCACTTTGGAACTTTTATTTAATTTCAGGTTCTGGCTCAGTATGTCCAAGTGGCCTGGAACCCTGAGTTTCTTAGAAGTTCTCAGGTTATGGAGATGATGCTAGCAAATCTGACATCCTTTGGGTTACCATGATCTACAGAAAGTCTGGGTCCTTGGGGCTTGTCTTCCCGAATGGGAATCCATCAGAGAGCATTTCCAAACTGACAATAGGGAGAGAACCAAACTCACTTCTTATTAAGCTTCACCAAGCTGGAAAGGTTTATTTCTGTGACTATAGCTTTGACTTTTAAAAGAACAGTTTTACGAATACCGAAGGCTATTAATCAAGTCCTTCCTCCTCAAACAAGGCTTATTCTGTAACCACAATGGGGCTGGCATTCACTCTTTGTATCTGCAGTTCTATTTCTTTTTTGCTAATGAAAACTCTTAATTGGTAAGCTCTGCAGGGCTCCTCCATTCACCAAATCCCCATTAGACCAACATCACCTACATCCCTCTCCTTTTGGCAATAATTCAGTTATAAAACACCTTTTCAAATGTAGTATCAAACTGAAAGGACCTCTCATCAGAGATAAAGAGAGCAAATTCCATCAGTCTCTCTAACTATAATAACACTGGGTTCCACCTACCTTATTCTAAAATCCTTGTAACATTGTAGTAGTGAAATAAGAACACCCACTCAAATGACTTGGGGTGTGCTTTTCATATTCAATTGTAACCAGAAAGGCTGCAGTTGGGAACACCTCCCTGCTCCCTTTACTTTTAAATAGAGGATTAGAACTAACTTTGATTTGGCAGGCATTGAGTTTGAGGGAAAAATTTTAAATTTCCTGGTATTCAAATGTGTTTATGCTTGGCAAAGAACTTCCTAATTCTTCATGAAATAAATAAATACACGAATAAATAAGTGAATAGAACTAAACTGAAAGGGCACTTTGGACATTGAATTGCTCTCAAAAGAATAATGTTTAGATGAATGACTGTCAAATGACTAAAAAACATAAGGATTGAATTCCCAAAAACATTCTACACATGGTCTTTATTTTTAATATATGCAATGGAGTGCATGTAACAATTTATTTGGAAAAAATTGTTCCTTGTTCATTGTAACTCCAGAGCGCTTGGTTCTCCCAGAGCTGTGGGCCACTAATGCAGGCCAAAGGTCCTGGTCTACTGAAAGTAGAATCTGGTGGATGTGTTTGAGGTTACCAGGAGCCACGCAGAGCCAAGAGTCAGCCTTGGCTTTCTATTCATGTAAAGGGGCTTTCCTCGATGTTCTGTGATGCTTCCATCAGCTTTTTGTGACTTTGTTCCTGAAAAGGCCAGTAATGAATCATCCTTTTTTACCTTATTCTTGAAATTCCACTCATAAAAGCTATCCTGTCCGACTCGACCCAGATGGGTGACCTCTGGCACTATTTAGTTGCTAATTTTTGTTCCAAGATAACATTGGAAATGGCCAGTGCGGAGATGTGTGTGGCTCCGCACTTGTGGAAATGTTTAGTTCATTCAAGTGAGTGGAAAATTTGCTAACTAAGCTTGCCTTGCAGTGTCAGTGTCTTTCAAGACGGAATGAAACAAATGTAAGCACACAACCACCACACCTGTGTGTTGCTTAGGAAGCTCCGTCGCTCAGCTCACCAGTGTGCAAAGCAGAGGGACACTCCTAGCATAATCCCAAGGGTCTATTCCACCAGGGACTTCTTGGCCAAACATGCTGACAAAGCCAGGGAAATTAGAAACGTAAATGAGAAGTTTTGCATAGTTCATCCTCAGACTCGGGAAGCTTTTTAATGTATGTGTTTCACACGTATTTCTAAATGCACTCAAAAGAAAGAGCACAAAGGATGCTGTGTGGATAAGAGCGAGTTCACCTCTACAAGAAAGCTGCTACCAAGCCATCGAGCATCTTTGCAGCATCTGGGCATTGGGTTCCTCTGCAGAACATGGGGTTCGGGAAGCAGAGCTTTGGTTGGACTGCATCCACACCCTCTGCACAGTCTCCTGCTGCCAAGAAATATTTCAACACAGCTGGTTAGCTTGATTCTATTAGTATCCCTTAATAATCCAACCGCGTAGGCATTATTTGCAATAGTAACAATACTTAGGGTACTATTATTTTATTACAGATGAGAAAACTAAAGAGGAAATGAATCTTATCTAGAATCATACAGCACATATAACAAAATGCTAGAAATCTTTTGTAGTACAAAAATGGTCCCCTAAATTTCAGCCTTTCGGTCATGAAATTACATCGCTGTCTTTTCAGCAAAGACTTTTCTTGAAAGGCTAAGTGTGCAGATATTTGCTCTGTTCTATTCATGTTAAAGGGATTCCACATAGACTGAATTGCATCAACTCCAAAATTCGTATGGAAAAAACAAATGAGCTAAGTCTGCACTCCTCCTTTCGCCTGCATGATAGAATTTCCCAAAGAAACAAAGCTGACAGAATAGACAGATATAGGTATGGCTCGTAAAGATGGAGATAGACACAGAGATGGAGATGGGGAGATAGAGATGATAGAGATAGAGAGATAAAGAGGTGTATTGTTCAGTGTTTCATTGCTGGGACAAAATATATGACACCTGCAGTTTAAAAGATGAGGATTTTTCTTTGTCTCACGGTTCCGGAGGTCTCAGCCCACGGTCAGCTGGTTCCAGGCAGAATCATGGCAGGGGGGCTTCACGGGGGAAGGCTGCTCACTGCATGGCATCTTGGAAGCAAAGAACCAGGGAGGAGCCAGAAAGGGAGAGCCAGAAAAGGACTAGATATTGTCCCCCAAGGTCATGCTTCCACACTTCCTCCAAATAGGCTTTTCCTCCAAATAGTCCCTAGCTATGAATTCATTGAGAATTGCACCCTTTGATGAGGTTAAGGGCCTTACCAGCCAGCCAACACTCCAGGAGTCTGTTAATCCAGTCAAGAAGACAATCAAGATTAGCCAGCACAATAGTTTGTTATGAGGAACTGGCCCTTAGGACTGTGAAGGTCACATCCCACAACTTGCCATCTGTGAACTGGAGAGCAGGAAAACCTTTGGTGCATTCAGTCTGAGTCAAAAGGCCTGACCACCAGGGTAGCCAGTGGGGTGAATCTTAGTCTGAAGGCACAGAAGAGATTCAAGACTAAGCTCAAGCATTCGGGCAGGAAAAAGGCATGTGGCAACTGCCCCATGGCCTTGCTACATGGCCCCATAACCCAGGCAAGGCGCCCAGAATCAACATCATAGAAAAGTTTCCAACACGGCAAAGCCCTTGGAAAGCCCAGTGAAAGGGTCACAGGAAAGTGACAGATACAGATGCTGACTGTGTGAATGCCATACCTGTGATGTGTCTGTCCTACGGAGAATGAAGTTATTTCCTTCTGAAGTGCGGTGTGTGATCTCTGCAGGCTGAGATGGCAAAGTTCAGTGTGGGAGTAGAGGAGTAGAGGCTTTATCCTGATAAAACATTGCCTGGAAGAAAATACTGGCAGACTCCGTGTAACTGAACAAGGTATACCCTCTGATCCTAACTGGCCGAGAACAGGGACTTCTGCTGTATTCCACAGCACGCACTATAAAAATAGTGCAAAGTGCAGAGCCTGGGGCTCACCCCTCCTGTGTCCACCCCTCAGTCTGTTCCCCCATCCTATTGTCTCTTACCATGAAAAACCACGCAGAATGCTTGCCAGTTCCTGGTATGCCCCAGAGTTCCATGCTCACAGGACTTGGCATTGGCTCCCACTTCTCCTTGGGATGATCTTGTTGGCCACCAAGCAGAGTGCTCCTTATCCTTTAAAATTTCTAAAAATGACTCCTGACATCATGCAGAAAGCTTTCTGTCTCCTCCACGGCCTTCCTTCCAATTTTAGCTCTCTCACTACACAACACTCCCCTTCATTGCAGCAGTTATGATTTAGTGTCAAAAAAATCTGACTTTGGGGTGCATCAGAATATTTTCCCACTGGGTTTGCCGGTATCTGGTGTCCACTGATGTATCTTTATCCAGAGATGACAGACTCCCCGTCATACAGTGGAGAAGTTCTATCTATGTAAAAACTTAACACCCTCCAATGAGTTTCCTACCTGGATCTCATGGGATTGTAGTTGTCTGGTTAGTGTTCATTGCTCTGTGAGCCTGAAATCCAACCTTTTCACCTAGAATTCCAGAGCACTCTGAACAGTGCTTGATAAGGGGAAGGCCTTCAAAGTGTGTATGTTAAATAAAAGGAAGAATAAACATTGGGGCAACCAAGAGCTCAGAGATGCTCTGATCTAATGTTTTCACATCAGTACAAGGACCTCATTGTAAGGTCAAAATTTGATGATCCAAATCAGACATACTTGTTTTATATATTCAGACTGACAGACTAACAAGTTGCTACAACTAGAATAAACATTTGTGAAAAACATACTACCCACCAAGCATTTATAAAGCCCAGTTTGAGACCAGGATTGGTAGACCACGGATCTAATTCAACTTCTATGGTTTCAAGATTGAAAAAAGTCAAAACTGAAAGTATGTTCAAGACCAGACAGCCAAAATAAGGCAGGAGGTCTCTTGAGGCCCTTCTCCTCCCCGCTGGGGGTTCTTAGCATCATCCAGAGACAGCCTACCCAATTTATATCAGACAAGTGAGAGAAATCTAGTGTATGTTTCCAAGAGCTGAGTGATGGGTGATGAGTCCAAATCTGCATGTATACTTGGAACTCAACCCAGTGAGCCTATGGTCCTTGGGATTTTAGAGCAGGCCTCTGAGAATTGATACAGTTTTAATGTATTTAGAGCACTTGGGAGCTGCTCAGCATTATTAAGTCATCCTGTCTCCCTGTTAACTTCCCTGGATTCAGAAAGTGCCATATATTATCCCTTAAGACCACTGTCTACAAGGGGAAGGTGCACAAGACAGATTCAATGCACGGTGTTCAGTGGACCCAGTTGGACTTTATGGCCCCAGGCGATGAATCCTTCATTCATTTAAAATCTCAGCTGTGTCTCTATTGCATCAACAACTTAGAGACAGCACATGGGCAGCCAGGAGCAGCTAGCAGCCCGGAGATGCAGTGTGGGGCTTCACAGTGTGAATATGTGCCTATAGCTCCTGCTTGCACTCACACTTTTCAAGCAGGCTGGTTTACCTCAAGTCAGAGTAGATTAGAAAGGCTGTTGTTGTGGCCTGTGAGGATTTCCTCCAAGCAAGAAATGTGAGCAATGAGCTTGAACCGAGAGGGAGACAGAAGGGCAGGTGGGGAGAGCATAGACCCAAGAGAGGGTTACGCTCTCGGAGGGCAGAGCATGGACTGTCTTGCCTGTTGAATGTGGAAATTTAAAAAGAGGCTGAAATAGAAAATAATGCTACTGCCCAAGGCTACACTGTGTCCTCAAGCAGGGAAGCATTGTGAATCCAGAAACTGGGAGACACCGGAAGCCACCATGGCTTTTTTCTGATCCTACACCCACTTTCCTTGGGTGCTCAGAATATTCCAGAAGCCTACAAAATCTCTGGACTGTGAACTTCATCTTTCCTACCTTTTAACTTCCTTCTAACCTGATCTGTGACCCTTCCCTCAGGGTCCCTGTGGCTCCATCACAAACATAATAATGTCAATAGTCAGTACTTACTGAGTGCAAAGTGTCGTATTTTACTGCCTTATTTGATCCCCATGAGGACTCTCTGAAGCAGATAATATTACCATCCTTATGTTTCACAAGGTAAAACCAAGCCACAGAAAGAATCTAAACTCCAATGGTTTGATATAACAGCCCCTCTACCAGTAATTACACTCCTTCCAAAAATAATGGCAGATGATGGATCTGGCCCACTCTGGTACTTCTTCTCTTATACAGGGACCTCTCTCTATCCTTAATAGTAACTAAATACGATTATGCTCATATTTAGTGATTTGAGTAAGTCAACATTAAAAGAATATTCACTGAAGCCAAAGTTCCATGATAGGCTGGGATCAAAGAATTAGCATTCATAGAATGTTAGTACTCCAGGCTTACCTCATGCTTATGTGCACACAGCAATGTAAACATTAAGAAGGAGGCACTGTGATCATCAACTCTGCTCCACCGATATGGAAGGAAACCTCAGAATCACATGATAATTCAGGGGCATATTTGAGATTCAAATTATGAAATTGTCTCAAAAACTTAGACTGTCAATTCTGTGCTCTGCTGTAAGGCAGGTATGGCTGCAAAGAACTCAGGATTGTGTTGAAGAACTGTGGTTAAAACCACAAACAAGTGGATCCCAAAATATGACTCGGGGGGTTATGATGTAGGCAAATAGGAAACACATCATTGAACAGAAAAGACTAGGCAAGACTTGAACAGATGAAAGGGGGGAAAGTGTGGCCTGAACAGAGATCAGTGTGAGAAAATGCAGCGTGTGAAAGCAACACAGACTTCACAGAGAATCCATCTTGGTGGGGCAGCTGGGTTGTTCAAGAGGAAATGCGAGGCCTTTAATTGTCAGACTGGGAAGTGTGATCTTTTGTGTGTCCGTTTTTTTTCAAAAGATAAGAAATAGCCTTGTACAGGTCATGGTAAGAACAAGGCGATCAACCCTATTACCTCATCTGAAAAATGGACTTCTTGAGAGTACCATGCAGACAGCGTGACCCACTGGGCAAAGGACCAAGAGCAGTGGAAGTTTGCATCAGTGCTATGTGATAGTCAGGGGTTGTGCAGAGAACAATTAAAATCAGGACATGGAGTTTATATTATTGTTTTATGATGGTCACCCAGAGTTAATACAAGAAACTTCAGGAAATCTATCTGCAACACTAAAAACATAGAATATTTAGTTAAGGGTCTAAATCCCACAGCAATGTCCCACATGAGTCCAGATGAAGACCCAGAGCTCATGACAGTGCCTCCCACTAGTCCAACTGGAGGTCCAGAGCCCACAAGAAGGACTCACGTCTCTTTTATGGATCCATGCTGGGAAGGCCCAAAGGTCAACAGTGGAAGCTAAGAAGTCTATGCCAGCAGGGTGAAGGAGCTGTGCTGGTAGGTTGAGAGTTCTACGCTGGAGCCAAAAAATAACAAATGCAGCAAAGACCAGAGCTATCCTGCAAAGCACCACAGCCATCCTCAGCAACATAGAGGTCCTGAGCTCCGACGATAAGCACAGTCGAGTACATGGCCAGGAAGCCAACGTGACAAGTTCATCCTGGAGACCAAGCAGCACATGTCTTCTCCTCCGGAGTCAGGAAGCAATGCTCCATGTGAGGACCAGAGCTTCTCCAGGAGAACCAGTGGCACAAACAGCAACACATAGGAGAACCCACAATGCCTCAATGTCTCAATGCCTCAACACAATAGCTTCTCCTTCTCCATGTCTCTATTTATGCTGGCAACAGGTATGCGCGGCACCATGCTGATGTAATCCAGCTGGCGTTAAGTTGACCACCAGTTCTTAATCCATAACATGCTAGTTACTTCCCTGGCTGTGGGACAAGGCCCAAATTGTATAGGTAAGAACTTTGCAATAGGAGCTGTGTCAAAGTCAGAAGACATACGAACAGGAAGGGCAGTGGGGATTCTTGGCCTACACTCTGAATATTAGGTGAGACAATGCTATGCTCTGGGTGACTCTACACTTTCCAGCTGGACTGGAAATGGAAGAGGTGGGGAAGTCAGGAAAGAGAATGAACTAATGTGTTAGTCTGTTTTCTGTTGCTAACTCACAATACCCCAAACTGGGTAATTTATAAAGAAAAGAACTGTACTTTGGAGCCTAGAAATCCCATGAACCAGACCCAGGTGAGGGCCCCGTGCTGCTGCCGCTCATGGAAGAACCAGTGACAACCAGCAAGGCAGCCTCCCCGGGGAACAAGTGGGTCTTGCAGTCACTAATTCACCCATGACAGTGAGAGCTCACAAACTCCTAGGAGCCTGTATCAGCCCCTCCAAATGCCTCTTGAAGATCCCAATGCCTCTCTAGACCGTCATGCTGGTGGGGACACACTATCTTCGAGGCATCACAACCAATTCGAAGGGGATGCTGAGTTCAGTTTCAGATGCCCTTAGCTGCAGTGCCCACGGGCATGGAGAGGAGGCAGTTGGAGACAGAGAACCAGAGCTCTGTAGAAGTCATGATATGTGCCCCTGACTTGTGAGACATCTATACCGATGTCATGATGTCCTTGCTCTACTGCAGGCAATACTCACCCTCCATACACCTAAACCTGGCTCTTCCTGGTCACTTAGGGCCAGCCTTTCCTTACCATTCAGGGCCCACCTCCTACGAGAGGACTTCCGTGGTCTCCCAACTCCACACTCTGTCCCCTTACTTTGTTTTCTTTACCTCATTTTTCTTCTCATTCTGTCCCCCCATGAAAATGAGTGCTCCAGGCAGGGGAAACTGGGTCCTATTTCTCACTGTGTCTCCAGAGCCTTAAAAGCTCTGGCACACCAGGAGTCAGTGTCTCTTAGTAAATGACACTAGGCACTCTTAGGCTCAGTAAATATAAACACCTCTGAGAACATGAAAGAATGATCTGTAAGCTTGGATGTGACCAGAGGGTGAAGAGAAAGAAGAGCAGAAGCTTGCAGAAATCTCTGTTATGTAGGAAGCAGAAATGAGGTTAAAAAACAGTAAAACGTAACCAGAGTGGTAAGAAAAAACCGAGATACAGAA